CTGAGCGGGGCGAGGGGCTGGCAGTGGGGAGGGGGCTGGGGGGGCCGGGGCTGGGTGAGGAGAGGGCTCACAGCAGCCGGGCGATTGTCTTTGCTTCAGTCTCTTTGCTTCAGCCTCCGGAGCCCGCTCGCCCGCGTGGGACAGCCCTCCCCGGAGAGCGGGCAGAGGCCGAGCAGCAGCTCGTGACATGTGTGACAGCCTGGCTCCGGCGTCTCCTTTCACCGTCACCGTTTGTTTCTGTTTGCTGGTGCAGTGAAATTCCAGTGTCCCCCCAACAGACCGTTCCGCTGCAAGAACGACCGGGTGTGTCTGTGGATCGGTCGACAGTGTGACGGCATCGACAACTGTGGAGATAACACGGATGAGAAGGACTGCGGTGAGTGGGGCTGCCCGTGGGCACAGCCCTGAGCCCGGGGGAGCCTGCGGGTGGCCCTCGGGATGGTCCCCCCAGAGCCCAGGGTTCAGCACAGGTGTTGGGGTTGGCTTTGCCCAGCCTTCCCTCCCAAAATCAGGGTGTGGACGCAGTCCCAAATCCCTGCCTGCTCCCAGAGGGTCCCATGGGGATGATGTGGGGGGTCACAGCTGCTGCCCCTCACCCGCAGAGTCACCCACAGCCAAGCCCAAGAGCTGCAGCCAGGACAAGAACGAGTTCCTGTGTGGGAACAAGAAGTGCATCAGCGCCAACCTCCGCTGCAACTTCTTCGATGACTGCGGAGACGGCTCCGATGAGGAATCCTGCTCCCACGGTGGGTGGGGAGCCGGGGGCCCGGCGGGGGCCGGGGGACTCGCTGTGACACTCGTGTGACGGCACGTCCCACCGCAGAGCACAAGTCATACGACTGCATGACCAATACCACCATGTGTGGGGATGAGGCCCAGTGCGTCCAGTCCCGGTCAGCCTCATACTGCACCTGCCGCAGAGGCTTCCAGAAGGTTCCAGACAAGAATTTTTGCCAAGGTACTTCCCGCTGCTGCTGGAGAGGGCTCAGGACTGGGCTTGTTGGGTTTGGCACAGTGAGATGGGATTTCACAGCTGGGGTGGGGCTGGGATGGCAGGAATGGTGTCCTTGGGGCAGAGTTGGGTCTGTGGGGGCACCCTCTGGGTCTCCCCCTGATCCCATCTCCTGCTGCCCAGACATCAACGAGTGCCTGCGCTTTGGGACCTGCTCCCAGCTCTGCAACAACACCAAGGGCTCCCACGTCTGCAGCTGCAGCAAGAACTTCATGAAGACGGACAACATGTGCAAGGCGGAAGGTCAGGAGGGAACAGGGACCCACACAGGTTTTGTGTGTGTACCCAGGACCCCCCCGTGCACCCCAGAGCTCCCCTGGGAATCCTCTGTTCTTCCCTCTAACCCCCTGTAGCTCTGCCATTGGTCTGCCCATCCCGGGCAGAGTGAGCCCCAGGGGGATGACGAGCTCCCAGTGACCCTGTCCCTGTCCCACCAGGGAGCTGGGCTGAGCCCCCATTCTCGGCTGTGTCCCCACTCCTGGCTGAGCCCCTGTTCCCAGCTGAGTCCCCACTCCTGGCTGAGCCCCCGTTCCCGGCTGAGTCCCCACTCCTGGCTGAGCCCCTGTTCCCAGCTGAGCCCCCATTCTCGGCTGTGTCCCCACTCCTGGCTGAGTCCCCGTTCCCAGCTGAGCCCCTGTTCCCAGCTGAGTCCCCACTCCTGGCTGTGTCCCCATTCCCAGCTGAGTCCCCACTCCTGGCTGAGCCCCTGTTCCCGGCTGAGTCCCCACTCCTGGCTGAGCCCCTGTTCCGAGTCCAGCCCATGCCAACCTCTCCTCCTCCTCCTCGTCCTCTGCAGGCTCCGAGCACCAGATCCTCTACATCGCTGACGACAACAAGATCAGGAGCATGTACCCCTTCAACCCCAACTCAGCCTACGAGCCAGCCTTCCAGGGCGATGAGAATGTGCGCATCGACGCCATGGACATCTACGTCAAGGGCAACAAGATCTACTGGACCAACTGGCACACGGGCCGGATCTCGTACCGGGAGCTGCCCGCCTCCTCCTCCGCCTCCACCGCCTCCAACCGCAACCGGCGCCAGATCGACGGCGGCGTCACCCACCTGAACGTGAGCGAGTTCTGCCGGGGCGGGAGCGACGGGCACGGGCTGACGGTTTCCTCCCCCCTCACCTGTCCCCTCTCTGCCCCACACAGATCTCAGGGCTGAAGATGCCACGGGGAATCGCCATCGATTGGGTGGCTGGGAACATCTACTGGACGGACTCGGGGCGGGACGTCATCGAGGTGGCACAGATGAAGGGCGAGAACCGCAAGACGCTGATTTCGGGGATGATCGATGAGCCCCACGCCATCGTGGTTGATCCACTGCGGGGGTGAGGGACTTGAGCCTTCGTCCAATCCCTCTGGGTAGCCCTCAGCACACTCCCCTCACCAGAAGCCCCCCCATGTGTCCCAGTGTCACTCTCTGTCTTCTCGAGTTGCTCCAGAGTTAGCTGCTGACTCCGGGATGCCGTGGGGACAGGGTGGGTTTCTCCTCCCTGGTCACTGGGCTGTT